AACAATTTAAATGAAACTTACCCATCCGTTCCTAAATTAACCTGCTATGCTGAAAACAGATAATTCTCACTGGGTCACTGTGTCGATCTTGAACATTCGAGGAGGGAACAAATTATGAAGAACAGCTGATCTCCAGACGAGATCATTGAACCCACTCAACCACACAGTCACTATCACCTTTCACAGAATTTTCTTTCAGGTAAATACAGTAATGCTTCGAAATAAGCAAGTGGCTCGGGACCGAACAGTTGCTTATTTCGAAGCAGGTACCTATTCGGCTTGACTTTGTTCTTGAAACGGGACGATAGAAAATGCGAGAAACGAGTGAGAGATCCGAGGTAGCGGCAAATCATAAAGTGATCGGCCGAGCAGCGATGTTATTTTTTGGACAAGGATAGAATATAACATGCCCTCTCATTCTCGCACTATGCTTTATTTCGAAGCAAATATACCAGACTGAGAAAGCATTATATATATTCCATCCTTCTTCTACTAACCGATGTCACTGCTCAGTCGAGCGTGAAATTTATTACCCTAAACATCGGCTTCGCGCTTTGATGGACCTCTCACTCGTTTCTCGTACCTCTCACTTTGCGGGCGACTTCAAACAAAGAAGAGGGGATAGCGACTTGCTTATTTCGAAGCAGAGACCACTTGCTTATTTCGAAGCATTACTGTAAACATTTTTATTCACTGTCACGTTACTATTGCACTGGACACAAATGAAAAACATGTAATATTCCGAACTACTTCGTAACGTTTTCACGACGTTATTGATCTTCCTTTCCAACTTCAAATGGGACTGCCAGCTTGAATGTTGTGAGGTCTGTTTCGCTTTTTGTCTTTTTCTACATTCAGAAATAGGTCATGGTTCGTGGTCATAAATCTGCTGTTCTTAGTAACCAAGAGTAACCGAGAGAGGCTCGTGTCGACCCTTTGAAGTCACCGAACATAGAAAAGGACAAAGAGCGAAACAGACCTCACACATTCAAGCTGGCAGGCCCATTTGAAGTTGGAAAGGAAGACCAATAACGTCGTGAAAACGTTACGAAGTAGTGCGGAATGTTAAGCCGAGTATCCACCTGTATCCAACGCCCGTATCGTATCACCGTTCCGAACCCTTTTGAATAGGCAGACGTTGCCTCGTTGCATGCCACGGCGTGCTACGGCTCGGACAATATTTCTTCGTTTCTTGATAGAAACGGTTCGGCAATAGGACTCGGCCACTACAGGCGAGGAGTTTCGTTTTGCTGCGTGCCGTTCCAAAGGAACGGAGGCAACAGACCCATCCGAAAAATTTGTCGATTCTTTGCCGTTGCATCGAAGGAAAGGTTTATGCATTTGCACTTGACATAGCGTTTCGTGCCGTCACTTGGGTTTCAATTTATTTGAAATCTTGCGGTATTATTGGATTCATTTCAAAATCGATGAAATTATTTATGAACTTAATCTAATTTAATTTAGACAAATTTTATCGTCTAAATATATTTAAACAGATCAATTATCTTCGGTGATACGCTGTACATAAAAGAGCAATGTTAATAAGAAACTCTGTGATTATTGAAAAAGGACAATGTTAATTTTTCAGAGATTTTTCCGTTGCCGAGAATCGAAAGTTCTATTGGGCTGTGATACGGAGGTGAAGGAACGGGCCGATCCGAAAATTGTCGGTTTCTTGCTGTACAAAGGATAGGTTCGGAAACCACTTGAAACGTAAAAACAACATACCCAGGCGAAGGCCCGAAATGCTATGTCAAGTGGAAACATGACACTTGAGGCTCGAGATAATATGATCTGGAATCGGATATATCAGTGAGATAATACTAATGCAATGACTGAACTTTGTTATTTTTCATTTTTTTCTTATAAAACTTTTACCAAGATATTTGTGACGTTTTTCTGATTAAAATGATACCAAACACGATATGGTTAGGACAATTACAATAAAGAAACAACATGCAGGAAATCGAAACTTCTCGCCTATAGGAGTTTCTTTCAAGAAACGAAGAAATATTGTCCGAGCCGTAGCACGCCGTGGCATGCAACGAGGCAACGTCTGCCTTTTCAAAAGGGTTCGGAACGGTGATACGATACAGGCGTTTGATACAGGTGGATACTCGGCTTTACATGTTTTTCATTTGTGTCCAGTGCAATAGTAACGTGACAGTGAATAAAAATGTTTATTTACCTGAAAGAAAATTCTGTGAAAGGTGACAGTGACTGTGAGGTTGAGTGGGTTCAATGATCTCGTCTGGAGATCAGCTGTTCTTCGTAATTTGTTCCCTCCTCGAATGTTCAAGATTGACACAGTAACCCAGTGATAATTATCTGTTTTCAGCATAGCAGATTAATTTAGGAACGGATGGGTAAGTTTCATTTAAATTGTTTTTAAATTTTTATTAATTATTCCATTTCAAACATTTTTATTTGTTGTTTAGAATGTTTAGAATTTCCTTTTTTACATAATGATAGGCAACAAGAGATTAGATTCCGTATATATTTTAAACAACAACTAAAAATGTTCAACCAGTTCAATTTTTTTATTGTGCTATGTCAATGGGGTGCCGAGCCGTTCGTTCGCGATCTACGTCAAGCCCCGCTTTCATAGCCGACGCTGTCGTCCCTGAGCCCGCGCGCTATACGCGTTCGGATTGGTCAGTGTTTTTGCTTAATAATTCAAAAAGGAAGCTTCAAACCACTTTTTCGCAAAGGAAAAAGTTGTTCAGAATTACCCCACCTACCACCACCTTAGAAGGTGAAAATACGTTACGGGACACCCTGTATACACACCTCGCTATACGGCCGCTCTTTATACGGCATTTCGCTATAACGGCCTTTATTAATTATGGCATTTTTCGATTTACGACGCGCAATGTTTCGTTATGCGACCAAAAAAAAAAAATGGTATTCTTTTATTTTTATGTAAGCATTTTTATAGGAAATAAAAAGAATAAAATGCTTTATGAACTAAAAACTATATTATTTTATAAAAAATTGGAACAGATCCAACTGAATTTGTATGGGTTTGTATTAAAATAATTGATTCGTTATACGGCTTTTCGCTTTATGGCCAACTCTTCGGGAACGGATCTAGGCTGTAAAACGAGGTAGGGTGTATAGTATTCTCCCTTCTTCTTTACAACTATGAAGAAATAGACGACTAAAAGAATAAACGACCATACAACTCATGAGATACTTGAATGTATCAAATAATAAAAAATTTCAATTTCAAAGCTGTCAGTGTTTTAATCTTTGTCAATAAATGTCGGTAATAATGGGAATAATTGTTTCATGTATACGGGTATCTCATGGGTATCCAGATAGCCTCGTAAGTTTGTCTGCCCGAATCACCTATTAGCGCCGGTCACCTTGACAGGATGAACTGTGTTCAGTGGAAATTTTCAAGTCAAATGCTGACGTAGAATGTCGAAGTAGTTGGAGGACGACCCAAAGTGAAAGAGTGTTTGCGTCTTACGAAAGTACATACTTTTACAGAAAGAAGTTTGTACACTGTTATGTTGAAGAGATTGGAGAATATCTCAAAGTCCAGGAAGGCTGGACTGAAATGGTGCCGATTGCAGTCAGCGTCGTACTTCTCATTTTTTTGAAATATGGGTAGAATGTGGGTAACGTCTGTATGCAGTGGGCTCGCCTCCCAAAGGTAGCCCTTAACGCTTTAAAGCGTGCATTTTTCCTTCCGATAAAATTTCATGAAACTTTGTACTAGGGCTTTTTTCGTGTTGCTAATTACAAATCAAATTAATCCTACCTCAAGCGATTCTGGGAATCCGAGATAGCAGGACCAACATGGCCAACTAAAATCGTAAAAAAACGAAAAACCAACAGGGAGAGAGATACAAGGCAATTTTCGAGGTTGCTAGTTTCTAATTTTAGGTCAATATTTAAAAACTCAAAATGACGAATTGAGATTTATCCACGTAAGTTTTCTACAAATTGTGTATTTGTACTTCCGAATATCTACGGCGTTTACGAAAACTCTTAATTCTACTGACGAGATCTTTATTTTGATCAATTGTTAAACAAAATAAAAATCAACTCTAGTTAAATATTAGAACTAGCCAATCCAAAATTTTCAATATTTCTTTGTTTCAAGGTTTGAATTTTTTGCAATTCAATCCGCCATTTTGGATCCGCCATTTGGTATTTTTTAATTTCTATTAGTATCACTATGAATATATAATTTGATGCGATTTTATGCAAACCTTTTAGTCTTTTGCAATGTCAGTTCATTATCTTGGATCTGCCATTTTGAATTTTTAAATTGCCACCTCAGATTCGTAATCATTGGCCTTAAAAACCTATATTTTGCAAGTTTTGTGATAATATAACTTATAAATCACTGTAAAATGAATTTTTTCTAAAGAATATACACTTTTTCATAAATTGTCTATTTATAAAATTGTTAAATCTAACAGAATTTGATTTTTTACATTTTCTAAACGTTTATTAACGCCTATTAGATTTTTCAAATAGAAAAAATTTAGATAGAAATATTGTGTTTCAGTAATTGAAAATGAAAAAACAAAAAGTGCGACTGTAAAGTCCCACTATGCTTTAAAACCTTAAAAATTCGTGATAAAAAGGATCCGTAGAAATGCGGTGTTGCACGGTTGTAGTTTTCTGTTGCCAACTTAGGACAACGAGCTCCTACGTATTGGTTGAAACTAAATAGACGAGATGTATTCAGATACCTCTACGGGTGAGAAGGCATAGTTGCACTACCTTCGAATGTGTCGACTTCATTAAACCAGGCTTGAGAATTAAGTGCTCTTTTTGGCCGATTTTCAGAAGTTACGCTCCCTTTCTTTCCGTCTAGGGCCCCGTAACGGCCTTAGTACTCGATACACTAAACGAATCGCCAAAACTAAACTGTCTACTCGAGTATTTTATAAGTTCACATCTTCACATTTAGCTCTAACATTCTATTAGCATTGATATTTTGCATTTCAATGATGTTAATGAAAACTTTTATTCCACAGAACGGTATGTTGTCAGCCCTGCCATATTTGGTGATGTGGATATTAAGCTTTCCACTATGTTGGCTAGCTGATTACGCCTTGAAGAAGGGTGTTTCAAGAGGGGTTGTGAGGAAGGTTTGCAACACCATCGCTCACTGGGGACCTGCAGTCGCTTTGAGTTGTCTGGCCGCCCTGTCGATTGATAATGCTATCGTGGCTGTCGGTATATTAGTAGTAGCTGTTGGATTAAATGCTGGATCTCTCTGCGGATTCCAAATCAACCACATCGATCTGAGCCCGAATTTTGCTGGTACCATGATGTCCATCACGAACTGTATTGCTTCTGTGATTGCAATCATCGCACCATTAGTCTGTGGTGCCATCGCTTATGAAGACGTATGTCACTCGTCATTTTAATTATTTAGTACTAATGACTGTTGTCAGTCTCTTGTTGTTTAAATTATTTTTTGGATAATGATGTGTCACTGACATTATAGTTACGTTCTTCCGGGTTAACCCTTTGTAGACGATCGTCGCATAGTGTGTCCAAACGTAATTGTCATAGTATTTATAATTCCGTACATACTCTTGATACAAAACACAGCTTTAGGTGTAGACAGCAAAGATTTACCTATAGTATACGTTTTTGCGGTTGAAAATAGTACTTTGTTTAAATTAAATTAATAATTCTTTGTGCAAGTTTAAGAATGCTTTGTCCCCAAAGAGTTAAATGACTCATTGTTAAAATCATGTACACCCCCGTTCATAAGTATCCAGACACCTTTTAAAATAAAATACTCTTTGCAAAATTTTAATTACTTATAACTTCTAAGTGCATTGCCCGATCTCGATGAAATTTTCAGCATACACATAACTTATTTGAATTTACGAAAAACGTATTTTAAATTTGCATTATAGACTCACATAAAAAAGTTGAAAAAATTACCCTTCACTATTACTTTTCACGATTTCGACAAACTGTAATTTTTTAAAACAGCAAAAGCACATATCTTAGTAAATTAATTTTTATAGCTTCTCCAAAAGCCTCAAGTCATTTGGTCCAATTTTAAATGAGGTATTCTGTTTCAAACGGTGTCCGAAGAATTTCGTGATTGACTGTACGTACAGGCGAAATTTAATGTAGTAGTACTCATAGTTTTTCGCGAATATCTTGCAAACTAATGGAGTCCGATATATAGCTCAGATGGGAAAAGTTACTTAACATGTCGAATTTTACAACATATTTCAAAACCATTGAAATCGGAGGGAGAGTAGTTTATCTACAAGTTCACCAAATATAGTAAAAGCATATTGTTCAAGAAACTACAGCGAAATAATTAAAATAATGAAAAATGGAAAGTACATTTGGAGTGCGTTCGCCTCGTTTATTAATGAATCAATTGATCAGTTACCATGGTTTCTGTACATTCAGCGCGCAAATGAAATTGTCCATAGCGTGCCGATGTGCACCGGCCTCGTTGCACGCTTATATCTACTTTATTGCGGGCTCTCATTTAGCAAGGCCCTGCTCTTAAATACGAGCAATTTCTACGAGATTCACGCTATATTTATAGTAGTTAAATACAGTAGATTCTCATTATATTGCCGCAGAGGGGTTGCAAGAACAGAAAATTTGTCAAGCTTCCAAGCACTCATTTGGAGGGGAAATAGAAATAAATATATTATCTTCGAAGACTGTGAGAGGGGAAGTGCGGAATTAGTATGCTTGAAGATCTGTGTAAAAATCAACTTGCCCACGTGGCAATATAACAGCAGGCTTCTGTATCAGATCCTGGAGAAGCTAACTATAATGTTGATGAGATTTTTATACATATTCAAAAAAAAAAAAAGGAAAACATGGCTTACACTTATTAGCAACATTTAATGTAAATTGAAAATTTTTATTTTCAGACAAACGCAGCGCTGTGGAACATAGTGTTTTATTTATCCGCTGCAATTTACGTGTTAGGAAATTTAATTTTCATTATTTTCGGTCAAGCTGAAGTTCAACCATGGAACGAACCCGAAGCTTATGAACTTAGCACCAGGAAAAACTTCGCAACGGCGTAAACAACAAGAACAAGAACTACACATTGTCTTTCATGATTTTCTATAAATGTAGCTTGTACTACATTTATTTACATTTTTATTGGCGCACAATATGATGCCGTCAACCAATCACAGGATATTGTGTGCTTTAATTAGTGAATTCACGGTTGTAGCTGTGAATATGTTAATTATATTATATGATAAGTTTCGCACCATTGTAACCTTCTGCTGATAATATTCATAAGATCTTCCGGTAATTATTTAGACTACGGACGGCAACTCCGATTTCGATAATTTTTAAATATGTTGTAGAAATCAGCATTTTGAACAACTTTTTCCTATACATATAACCGCCGCTCGGTCTTAGTTTTCGAGATATTTTCGAAAAACTGTCGAAACTAATACATTGAATTCTGCGTGGTCGTGTGCGTCCGTGTTACGCACGCATGTAACGCGTGTTACATCTTACGTGTTAGTGTGCGATCGCAGCTCTTCTACTGTTTTTGCAGGTAGCAGCACGGCGACCGAAACTAATATATATGTACATATATAACGGGTGGACTTAAAAATCAAATTTAACTAACTTTAATGATTTCGAATCTCAGTTTGTGTGTCTGATCGCTTAACGGCGACCAGAATATTACTTTAGCCTAACCTAACCTAATTCACTGATTAGGTAGAGTGGATTGGGTTAGGTTAGGCTATAAAATTTCCGGTTGCCATCGGTACGTTGAAATCATGAACATAGAAATACACAAGGTATATATTGGTCATCGGTCGTCGTGCTGTTGCCTGCAGAAACAATAGAAAAGCGGCGATCCCATATTAATGCATACGTTATCACGAATACACACGGATGGGCAGAATTCGATGTATTAGTTTCGACAGTGTTTCGAAAATATCTCGAAAATTAAGGCTGAGCGGCGGTTATATGTATAGGAAAAAGTTGTTCAAAATGTTGATTTCTACAACATATTTATAAATCATCGAAATCGGAGGTGCGGTCTGTAATTACCGAGATTTAATTTTCAAACAAATCGAGTTTACAAAGCGTTCGTATGTGTTACCGAACACGGTAGATTTTTCCAGGGAAAATGGCACTGCAGAAGAGAAAGACTCCACTATGTACTTACTGTCCATCGATCACAAGTCCCATGAGAATCGCACGCTTCCAAAATGCATATGGCACGACAGCTGAGAACTAATTCTTTCAAGTTCGTAAGAGAACACGCTTGTCTGAAAAAGTTTAATTCTCACCTAGCGTGCGCGCAACACGATCTAGGAAGGCAACAGCGCCTCAAGTATTTTTACAACGAAAGCGAAACATTGACGCGTGTTTGGAGTGAGATGTACGGTGATCATGCTATCCTCTCAAGCTAAATGATAGAATTTTCCCGCTTCTGTAAATTTTGACAGACCGAACACGTGGATTTTATATAGCGCACAGTAGCACGCCTCGCTGTTGAAAAAAATATGCCTACTCTGGAGAACTGAAGGAACGTGCAATCTGAGAATTTAAAAAAAAAAGTTATTAATTTCTCTAAATAAATATTTTTTAATTCATAAAAGCATATAGAATGCGTACGCAATTGGGACGGGTTATATCTTGAATTTAGTAAAGGATAGGAAAAAGCTATTCATGAAAAAGTTGATTGGTATGAGAATGTTTATTTTTCTATGACTTAATTTTCTTCGTGAATGCAACGATGTACTAAAAAAATGCAGATGCACTTTTTATTTAAATAGAATTGCATATTTATTTTACTCGTATCAACTCCTTGGAACATTCTGCATAAAAAAGTACTATGATACTATTAGAACTAATAAACGGAGCGGCCTCGGCTCCTTTTCTCCTTCTATCCTTCTCTCCCCTCGCTACTATTCCCTCTCTCTATTTCGCTAACGCGCCTATGTCTAACAGTACAACAGTTCAACTTTTACATCAATAGCTTTCCCCTATCTCTTACCAAATTCAAGATATAACCCGTCCCAATTACGTGACGCTTGTATTTTCAGAAACCTATAGTAACTTTGTGTTTTGAAACTAATAAAAAGTACAAAGTACAAGTGTTAATCAATATTCTGAATAAATGCAATTAATTTAAATAAATAAATATCTCACATACTACTTATGTAAAGAATTGCAGAATTATTACAAAGAGGAGGCATATTCTTCTCTTGTTATACCTCCTCTTTGAGCGAGGTTTGTTATGGGCGCTGTAAAAAATCCAGGCGGTCGTCAGTCAAAACTTAGCGAAAAGGGACAATCTCAACACTCACAATCAGAATGAGAGAAGGACAGCATGACTGTAGTGCATCTCACTCAGCGTTTGGGCGTTGTTGCCTTTTTCGCTTGCCCTCGCAGACACAGTTCAAGTGACGTAACCAAGTTAACGCCTGATTTTCGCTACGATTCCAAATTGGCAATCTTTTTAGTTAGACGCCACCTTATAACTAATAGCTGAACTGAATTTGTCACGTAACTTGCTTTGTATTATCCACAAAATGGCGGAACTGGTCTGTGGGAATACTTTCACGGGACTACACTTTTCGACCTTATTTCGCAACAAATGAAGACAAAATAGGTCTTAATTTGCAGGTAAGGGCAGGTTAAGCTAGACCGCTGAACTCATGATTTCAATCACAGCACTGTTTTAGTGGTTTTAGTATGCTTCGATTCCGCGACTGCATTTTGTCGATTTTTTCCTCCACTTTGGACGCTTATATTACTAAACATCAACATAATCCCACTGAAACATTAGTTCAGCGGTGTGTATTGGTCCTTGCTCTTTCGAATAAGCCCTCACCCAGCCCCAAATGTTCTCATATAAAGACGAAAAGTAGTACCGTGAACCCCTTTCTAGGCCCATTTTTGCTGGATAATCTCAACGCGCTACTATTCTCAAAGCAGCTGCATTAAGCGAGACGCCGAGGAACCTGATGCGGAGCGCCACTCTCGGTACTTCGTCTCCCGCGAAGCTATTTCGGTTTCTGGCTTGATAAAAAAAATCGACGTTACAACTTTCTCTGGATGTATTTTTAAAATAAAAATCTACTCTATCGCGTGGTATAATTCAATTTTACGCTAGACCTCTACCTTTTCAGATAAATTGAAAAATATCCTAAAAAATTGGTGCCAAATCGGGGTCTCTCCGCGTTCAATGATCGTTTATGCTTTTTAGTACGCGTTCGCGATATTATTAGCCGATATTGTTCTTTCACCGGTTGACACCACCACGAAGTTTGTACTTCCTTAAGACCAATTACGATATTAAGGATAATAATTTGATTACATCTAGGTTAAATATGATACTATATTATAATAAATCAACTGGTCGGAGAATCGAAGGATCCCATTGACTCGAAGTTGAAGTTATTATTTCACGGCTCGAATCTGACAAGTGAATGCGAATCGGTGAAGTTAAGTGAGCTGTTTGAAGACTCGTGTTCGAATGAATGTCCGTGTCAAAAACGTCCAGCAAGAAGCCGCAGAGAGGTAGTCCGACGAGGTAGGCGTTGACCAAAAAGAGCCAATTGTAAACGTTTTGAGTTTAGCTATTGGCGATAGGCTGAACTGTTCAGCAAATCAGCTCGCCGAACATTTCCCATGTAAGCTACCGGAAAACCCAGCAGGCTGTGATGCACGTGGAAGTCGCAAAAGATTATGACCCGAAGTGGCAGTGACCCAGGCGCGAGCGAGAGGCGGCTCAAGACCCTTACGTTCGGGCTGTATCTTAGAGGTATATGGTCAAGTGACCGTTGGTGCCTGAGTATGCAGCTTAGATGGTTCGGGACCCCTTATGGTTTTGTTTGACTTGGTTGATTTGTGCATCACAGGGGGTCCTGTTTATGACACGGAGTGAAAGTTTGATATTCTGCAGAGTTAATCTGACAAAAAAGGTTTAAGCGCTCGTTTAGGCCAGCTGGATAACTGTAGAAAAGGTGAAAGCACCCGTAAAAGATTGTAAACCGCTTGTCGCGAGTTTTGCGGACAATACGAGTTCTAAAATAAACGTCCTGAGTTTTAGAACCTTGTCCTTAAAAATTCTATTTACTATTTGGAAATTCCGAATTCTTGTGTTACGTTGCGCGCGCGCGACGGCGCAACGTAAAAAGGAAAGATAACATTTGGAGATATAGGTAGTTAAATTTCAATTAATTGGTTGGAATTCAACCCCTAATTCCTGCTTCCCTATTTTAGCGCGATGGTTGGTATCGCTGCCACCAGTCTCGAGCGTGTTAACGCTCTCGACAAATTAAAAGACGAAAGACAAAATTGATAAGATGTTAAAAGATTATAGTTATTAGCCTTTCGTTGGGTTCGTTCAACGCTTGGTCCCGTACAGGACCCTCCTTGAATCTGGGTATGTTGGTAGGCGTGTTTTAACTGAAACGTGTGAGGTGTGTTCGAAATAAATGGAAACTGTTTAACTAAATGAAACTGGTTTAATCGTGAATGAAAATCAGATAATTGCCAAAATTATGAGTTCAATAATTTAGAAATTCCGTTAAATTGAAAATTACCAGTTTTGCAAAAATGTGTACAAGTGTAAAGATGCTTAAGATTCGTTAACAAGGTATATATATATGAATATAAAACACTCTGATATCACATTTGAAACATTAGACTAGTATACCGGTCGCGTGACTCGATTATTACGATTTCGTTTCCTATGTTTAGCTGAAAAACCGGCGGTTTCCGCCCGCGGTACACCTTAGCCTGAGAAATTCTCGTAACTCCCGAAAGAGCTGGACTAAGGTGCCCTTTGGATGATGGAAAGAAACTGACTTTCGAAATTGTAATAAACGGAAAATAGTATTTAATATTGAATGATATCGATACCTCGTACGGTGGAACGATCTGACCTGAGGAATTCTCGTAACCCTGAAGGGCTGGACCAGATCGCCCGTTTTGCCAATCAATGAACGTCGTGATCGAAAAACGCAAGTGAAACGACTTACCGTTACGCTGTATAATGCGAAACAAGATTATAATATTCGTTATCTAAATTTCTCTGTATTCGCCTGATGATCTGGAACACCAAAGAAACGGTAAGACGTTGATCACTGCATTTGTCGCGGCGGAAATGAATTAAAACGGACGAGTACGTCGACGAGAGACAAACGAATAACGATTTACGATTAATTACAATTTATTACGAAAACGATCAATATATGATTTACGCGGAGTGAAGTTAATACGAAATTACTACGCGAGCAAACGATTTAAAATCAGAAAGAAAAGATAGAAATTTAGGGAGAGAGAAGATTTTACGTGCGCGTCTATGAGTCCTTATCCAGAATTCCGATTATTTTAACTCGCACGGCTCTCTGCCTCGCTACGCGGAGGACTTTACCGCAGAGAAAATATCGCGAACTTCCAAATAACTCTGTCTCTCGGACACACGGGCTCCCGATCACGTACTTACGATTGATCGATCAAGAGTGACAAATTTCGTGCGCGATCGACGGCCGAAGGGCCCGTCGCGCGAACATCGTCCTTGGAGGGGACGGTTTGGCGATTCGTAGCCCGTTTTCGGAAGTGTCGCGTGCCCGGTGATTGGCTAAGACGCGCGAGCTAGACGAAGATCTTTCATCCCCTTTCTTTGGTGTTCCTTCCTTTTCTCATTCGTCGCCATGATAGTTTCAACGGTTTTCAGAAACTACGCAGTATTTCTCGTTATACATATAATTGATTAACGGCATTTATTCGAGATGTAACTATTAGTTTAATTGGAATGCAATTTGAGATTTGATATTGAAATATAGATTAAAATTGAAATATCGGGTTTGATAGGAAACCGTCATCCGTATATCATGATCAAAATTATTCATTCCCGATTTGCAATAAACAGTATGATTTTATATGTTTAACAGCGGATGTTGCGCTTACGGTGGTTGTAACGCCGTGGCGAATTATGCAATCTATCGCGCATTAAAACTATCGCCTCGATATATTCGGCATTTCGCATTTTATAAATTTTAAACAGTTCTAAATCTGGCGAACGTTCCTTCGAGATCGTTCCTTTGTTCAAAATTTGCCGTTATCGCTAGGCAGTTCTTAGAATTTCGATACAATAGTGTTTATTGCTTCGAACGACCCTTGATTTTCGAACGGCGGTCGAACGTTCGCGACGTTCGCTTTCGTGAGGGTTCTCTACTCTTACTTTCATTGTTTAAATTTGTTTCATCCATCCACTCTCTCATACTATTGTTACAATCAGGTAAAGATGGTCCTTGTTGCACCGGCAGACGCTTTGTGCAACAGAGTGAGAAAGAGGTTTCTAACAAAAGAGTTATTACGATTTTCCCGTTTCTACGCAGTTACCAAGGGAAATTCCCGAAATGCGAAGCACTGGCTAACTGCGTAGCGCTGGTGTTATTGCTACGGCTCTCTCTCTCTCTCACTCGAGCTAACCCGAGTTTTTGTGCGTATTTGTCTCTTATTACAATGGCTGGCGACGATAGTTTCAAGGAGGGTCACGTAAACTATTGAAAAGTAGAAAATAGAAACGGCCTTTCCTCGTGTACCTCGCATGAGAAATTCTCGTAACCCTCGAAAGGGCTCGACAAGATACACGATTCCAGGGTAGAGCAGGTAAAGAAGAGAAAGCGATAGAGGAAGTCAAAAATAGAAAAGAATTAAACTCAAACTCTTCCCTGTACATCCCTGCATGAGAAATTCTCGTAACCTCGAAAGGCTTGACAAGAATGTACAAGGTCGAGGAGGAATGAAAAGATTGGCGGTAAACCGAAACACCCGCCTGTACGCCCCTTACATGAGAAATTCTCGTAACCCAAAAGGGCTTGATAAGGGACGCAAGGCGGATTGTTGGAGTTCGTATTGAAGGGTTTTAGAAAGATTTATTGGGTCCCCTTGACCATGTTGTTGCCATCTGATTATCAGGCTCTGGGTGGCGCACATGGAGTTTGTCAGTCACCGGAAATAGACGGTATTAGACACCATAAATTTCGCCTTTTAGGGATGCAAGTGGTCGTTCTGCTTGCCACTTGAACTATTTACAATGAGGACCCAAGTTCAGGTCAATTCTCAGAATTTCCCGAACTCTAACTTTCGCCCACCTAAGCGATGCTCATGTTCCCCTTCTATATTGGAAATGCACTAAGGGCGGTTGGAAGGGAGGGCACGAGCTCGAAGCAAATTTTAGAGAAGAGAACACTTCGTTTTGGTACCTGGTACAAGACGGATAACAGTTAGACACTCAGACAGATTGTAGTAAATTCCAACACGCACACCCAGTTACACGTACACACATATACACACTGCAATAGAAATAAACAATATAATAGTGCATAAATGTGTGAAATCATTTTCTCCCAACCTGCTTGCTTGGGTGACACTAATCCAAATCAGACGGCACTTTGTGCAATATCCCAAGGATTGATCAGCAGTCCTTAACACGGATAAATTTCAAATTTTCCGCCGGGACGTAACACTTGAATAGCAATTGCCTTAATACGTGACAAACTATGACTCCGACCAGTTTAATAGATTTCCTTGTAATTGTGAGTTATATTATTGAACGTGAACGATCGTTCTTCTAAATTAGTATAATAAACGGTTGGTTATTCGTTCTTTTAGTTGTTAATCCTTGCCAGGTAGGCTGAATATATTGAACAGGCTTAAGTTAAATTGCAGTGTGTTTGTTACCGTCGTCAAGAAGACCGTATGGTTGTTCATTGACAATGATTACTATTGTGTATTTGACGGTTGTATTTATAAATTCGTGATGCTGCGAAACAGAGGAGTTTATGGTGCTATTTTTGAGTGCCATTGGTAATGGGTTCAAAAGTTATGGGACTTTGAAATTTTCATATTTTTAAGTGCAAATGATTATACAAATGCAAATTGCATCACACATGCAATTTTCCCTGAAACTCATCTTAATTGTTAGTAAACATCATCTAATCATCTCAAATTCATGCCTTTGTCACTTTTACACTTAATTTTCACTTCATATTTCGATTTCTCATCTTTTCTAATCATTTGCACTTAAAAATATGAAAACTTCAAAGTTCCATAACTTTCGAACCCGTTGCCAATGGCACCCA